TGTAGATGTTCACTGAAATGAAAACTAAACAAACTAAATTTAAAAAAAAAAAATACATAATATGAGAATCACAAAAAAAAAGAGGTCAAACTAACACTCAAATAATGAACCCTTTTCTAAAGGTACACAAATATTCAGGGAAAAGCTGCAGAAGGCTTTTCTGTTAATGCTTATTATTACACATCAAGAGTTAGATAACAAATTCTTTTACTGTACTGGGAAATACACAAATACAAGCTGGTAAGACAGCAGAGTAGGAAGTCAGACTCAACACACCAACAGGAGTTAAACAACTGTGGGTGATTGTTTAGTGTCCTTTTAGACTTCTTTGTTTGAATATTTTCTTAACTGTACATGGGATAATGATACAAAGGGAGAGGGAAAAATTTCCTTTAAAAACATACAACAGTTTCTGTCATCACAGGAGACTAGAGCGAGGGCTACATGGTGGAGGGGACCTGGGGGAGGGTTTGTAAAACAATGAAAGAATCTTTTCTTTTACTTTTCCATAATTTTTGACTCATGTACTTATAACTTGTTAGTCAAATTTGTGTCTTCTAGGTTGCAACACCCCCATGATACATCTTCAAGGATATGAACATGTACGGCCAAGCACAATCAATAAGAGTGCATCTAAATTCCAAAATCAATCTCCATAATAGTCTATGTGTTTCCTACTGCCAAAGGGGCCCTTTAGAGTAGTGAGAGAAGATCTTCACCCTGAAACCCACAGCGTCCCTTTTCAGCAGGAAGTAGCTAAGAGAATACGCCATCCCCTTTTCCTTATGACTCAGGGTGAAGTCTCTCTCAGGGAGGAGTGATAGGGAATGGCAAAGGACACACTGGCAAAGAAGATTAATCAGAACTGGCTTTGACAAGCACTGTGGCATTTGGACAAGAACAAACTGGGAGGAGGGTAGAGAGAATAGTGCAACAATGAATGAGTGGAACCCAAAATCTCTGTAAATGTTTATGAAAATTAATAAAATATAATTATAGAAAAAAAATAAATAAAAACATACAACAGAGGGGAAAGTTATCAGTTCATGAAATAGAAATATGTTGTTTGTTGTGTGTACTGATCCTCTGGCAGGTTTTCAGAGGCAGTTAATCACGAGGGAGGAGACTGCCTATCCTGCTACTGTGGAGCAGCTGGTGGGTTTGAACCACGTGCCTTTGAGATTGCAGCACAGCTTCTTACCATTAGGGCACCAGGGCTCCCTTAATTAAATATATTATATTGATAATCTGACTCTCTTGTGGTTCTGATGCTTGAACTATAGATTGTTGTTGTTATGTGGCACTGAGTTGCTTGCGACTGATAGTGACCCCTTTCATTTTAAGCTTCTACAATCAAATAGAAGTGTAAAACGAAAGGAAAACCAGAATCACACCAGTGATCAGTCCCATCCCAGATCACACTCTCCTGCCCTGCTGTCCCTGGTCATCCCTCACCCCAGATACCTAGGAGACTTCCATCCACCCCCAACCCCACCCTGTACCTGGGAGATCTCCATCTACCCCCAACCCCAGCCCTGTACCTGGGAGATCTCCGTCCACCCCCACCACTAGCCCTGTACCTGGGAGACCTCCATCCACCCCCAACGCCACCCTGTACCTGGGAGACCTCTATCCATCCTACCCCAGCCCGTTATCTGGGAGACCTCCATCCACCCTCACCCCAGCCCTGCACCTGGGAGACCTCTGTCCACCTCCACCACTAGCCCTGTACCTGGGAGACCTCCATCCACCCCCACCACACCCTGTACCTGGGAGATCTCCGTCCACCCCCACCCCAGCCCTGTATCTGGGAGACCTCTGTCCACCACACCCCAGCCCTGTACCTGGGAGACCTCCAGCCACTAACAGTTGGTGCGTGGATCATTAGCTCCCTGGCACTGAAGCCGTCTTCGTGTCCAGAAGAACTGACAACCACAAATCCAATCTTGTGGGGCATTCTGCACAGTTGGGCTATTAAGAGAAGCAAGAGAGGGTTCTTTAAGAGGAAGGAATTTAGTAACAACATTATAAAAATTAGCACTTTATTTACAAGAATTGAGTTCAAGTTATCCATCATTTTGAAAACCTTTTAGTTTTCTGTTAAATGGTTTTTATAATTTTTTGTGTGAAATGTTTTTAATAGGCTCCTACATTTAACTTACCTTGATTTTCCCTAATACATATGCAAAAATTTGAACAGTGTGTTAATAAGTTACACAGTGAGAAGGAAAAGATTCACCTAAGCCAGCCATGAAGCACAGACTTACACGTCAAGCACAGATACACACATAAGGAGCCTTCTGGAAGGACTGCTTCAGAGGTCCATTTAAATACAAGGTGAATGGCTTTTCTCTTGTCACGATTTTCCTGGTAAACCTGACTTTCCAGAGTTCAACATTTTTCTGAGAGTGGCCTTGTGAAACCTGTTTTTGCCCAATCTATAACTGTCTGCTTGGCGTCCATCCTCTCTCCATGTTTGAAGATAGCTCCTTCATCTTAACTTTCTCCAGAGATGTTACCCACTCCCAGACCTACCCCACCCCCTCAGCTAGCACTGAGTTCTCACTCCACATCGGAAATGAGCATATCTTTCAGGTTTCAGCAACCAAAAAATTCCGTGACTGGCCAGAGAAGCTGCTTCAATGACGTAAATGTAAAAAAACAAAACAAGACATCCCCCTGCCCCCAAACCCACTGTTGGGAATCATTTCTGATTCTCAGCCGCCCTGTAAGACCGACCAGAGCTGTCCTACACGGCTTCCAAAGCTGCCATCTTTGTGGGAGCAGAATGCCGCATTTCTTCCATGGACCGGAGTGGTGGCTGGTGGGACTTGACGGCTGACTGTTTGATTAACAGTTAAGTGCTTTAATTTTGGTACCATAAAAAAAATAAATAAAAAAATTTGGTACCATCAAGGCTCCTGGGAACATGAAAACACAACTCAAATAGGCCCACTGAGACTTCACTCAGGACTTGGAGGAGATTGGTGGCTGAGTGGTAAGGAGGTGTGCTGTCAACCCAAAGGCATGTGGTTTGAATCCACCAGCTGTACCATGGAAGAAAGATGGGCAATCTCCTCCCGTGTGATTTATTGCCTCTGAAAACCTGCCAGACAACAACTGTGAGCTGTAGGATAGATGTCTGGGATGCTAGAGACCACACCATGAGGAGGTCATGGTAGAGAGTGGTGTTAACTTGGGGTAAGCAGAGCTGAGAGAAGTGGACAGACATCTTCTGAGTTCTTAGACCCAACCAGATTTAAAGTATAAACTAAAACAAAGTAAAAAACCCTGCAACTAACCTTGGACTTCTTAGTTACAAATTCCTTTGTTTAAATGCTTTTGAGTTAATTTACAACCAAAAGAGTTCTCACCAAAACAGAAAATAAAGACTTCACTAGAAGGTTTTCAGGAATAGGCTAAGTAAATCATTTAAGTTCTCAGCAGAGGTAACAAAGACATAATAAATGCTGCTTATTTAAAAATGCTTGCTGTATGACCCAGACCTTTTTTTTTTTTTTTTTAATTCTTAGAAGTCAAAGAGGACCATTTCAATCAAAATTTTACTGACAGCTGCTAACATTTCTTGGGACACATGAGAAAAGATGCTGAAAATAAAGTGATAAACCAGATAAAAGTTATTTTTTAGATAAAGCTCACTGAAAGACACTGCAGTATTAGAAGTAAATGGCATTAAAGCAGGGCCATATGTGACTCCCTGTCCACTCTCCACTATCAGTCCTATCTTCCTTTGGTGCACTGTGAACCACGGAATTCATCAGCCCGTGACACCCCGTCCCACCTCCTGCCACCTGCCTTTGAAAGACTCGGGCTCTGAGCCTGCAGTCCCTTGCCTGAGCACATCCCAGGCTCGTCTCCACGCAGTCAGATGCCAGGCCTCCTCAGCTCTGCTTTTGGAGCGGCTTTGGATCATGCACACCCCTTCTTCTGTGTCCCAGTCTTTCCTAGCTAACTCCTGCCTCGTCTCCCTCTTGGAGCAGGAGCCCTCTGAGTCATCGCTGGCACTCCTGCCAGAGCACCCCCTCCAAGAGCTAGCCCAAGGACCCACCATGGGCTTCCGGTCCAAGATTCCAGTCCTTACTTTGTCTCGACTCAATCTGCTTTCCCAGCCTTCACTTCCTGTCATAAATTTATAGTCCAGCCACACTTACTGAAAGCTCTCAGTTACAGACCTCTGCTCTGAATGTCCTAACTCCCTTGATACTGATGTTGTGAAGGGGTTAGCTTTACTTGGATCCACAATCATTATTCCCGTAAACAACGGTCAAGAAGTTAAATGACATCTTGCATTGGGCAAATCTGTTGCTAAAAAGATATTTTTAAAAGTCTTCCCCCAACCCCCAAATTGCATACTTTCGAGTCAGATCTGACTGTCAGAGGAGGAGACTGTCCAACCTTCTCCAGCAGAGCATCTGGTAGATTTGAACCATGTACTTTCTGGATTGCACTCAACCACCAGAGCTCCCTTTAAAAGTCTTTTGAGCAAAGATGTCACTTTGAGGAGCAATGTGCACCTGACCTATGGCTCAGTATTTTCTATTGCCTCACATGCATATGAAAGCTGGACAACAGACAAGGAAAACTGAAGAGTAGTGAATATACCATAGAGAATGTGATTATGAGAAGAGTGAACAAATGTGTCTTGGAAGAAGTACACTAAGAATGTTACTGGGCGAGACCAGTGAGACATCATCTCGTACTTAGGACATGTTATCAGGAGGGACCAATCCCTGGAGAAGACACCCTGTGTGGTGACAGGTCAGGGAAAAGAAGAGCCCCAACAAGATGGCCTGACATAGTGGCTACAGTAGGCTCACAGCAACCCCTGTGAAGGCGGGGCAGGACCACAGTGTTTTGCTCTCTTGCACACACGGCTGTTATAAGTTGGAACGACTTGGCAGTATCTAACAACATCCACTATGAGGGCCCAGAGCAGTGAATTACAGCTCAGTCTAGGGTGTCCTCATGGCAAACGAGGTTAAGGGTTGGGTTGGGTTGGTAACGGAAAGCTAGGAGTCTAGCAGTCGGAAATCAGCAGCTGCTCTGAGGGAGAAAGATAAGGCTCCTCCTGGTAGCATTTACAGCCTTGGAAACAGACGCTGGGTCACCATGAACTGGGTAAGTTTTGGTAACCAAAGTCCGCGACTTCCACACAATGGCTGGTGGGAGCAAGGATTACATGTTATGGATTGACCTGTGTCTCCTCAAAATATGTGCCAAGTAGGGTATACCAGCCTTGATCCCTAGCAGGATGTGGTTGTCCTCCATTTCTGAAATTGGATAGAATCATTTTTCCATTTTGTGACGTGTTGTAAATCCTGGCCTTTACGCTTGTGGCTATGGGCCCATTTTGGAATGAGTTATCTGATCTGTTAATGAGGCAGGATTAGGGTAGGATGTAGTCTGAGCCACCACCGTATCAGAGGGTTTTCACCTTCGGCTAGTTACCAGCTTCAATTTTTTAAGTCATGCCCTTGCTTGACCTTTTATTTTACAAGGACAAAGAGAACCTATTACTCTCTAACTCTGGTAGCCTAGTGGGTAAGGAGTTGTCCTGTCAACTCACAGGCAGGTGCTTTGAATTTACCAGCTGTTCCATGGGACAAAGATGGGCAATTTCCTCCTGTGTGATTCATGGCCTCTGGGAAGTCAGTTCTGATTGATGGCCTCAACAACATCCCTAACAGGCTGGTAAATGGTGTGGCCTGTGAGTTCTGTGTGGCACTGAAATGAAGTATCAATCCCGCAGAGAGAGAGGTACTGGTGAAGGGGAAAGGGTGCAGGATGAAGGCAAGAATGATGAGGCTTCACCTCACATACTTTGGGCATGTTGTAGGAGGGGCTACTTCTTGGAGAAGGATGTGATCCTGGGAAGAGTAGAGGGTCAGTGAAGGCGGGGAAGACCCTCGATCAGGTGGATCATGATAATGAGTGCCACTGTGGGCTCTAGTGTGTCAGGACGGGTTAGGATGGTGCAAGATAGAACAGGGTTCAGATCTTGTCTCTGTCTCATAGAACTCTGTAGGGCTGATGCCGAGGGTGAACCTCTCTTTTCCTCATGGCGTCAGAGGGGGTTAGGTGCCTTCTGCATTACCCTTTGCACCCCGTATGCTGCACCAACACCCCAGAAAATCAAAACCAAAGCACTGACACTTGTGAACCAATTAGAAGAAACACTTAGAAACTACAGAGGCCACGAAGTCACCTCAACTGGGTATTTTTTTGTAAAGATCCCTTTTGCGTCCTGCCCAGAGATGGTCCACCTTATATACTACGGAGTCCTTTGTGTAAACCTTCCATTAGTAAATGAGTTATCTAGGGTGGCACCAATTACTTTTGTGTTGTTGTTAGGTGCTGTTTAGTACGATTCATAGTGACCCTACAAACAAAAGATCTGAACCCTGTTCTATCTTGCACCTTCCTAACCCGTCCTGACACAGAGCCCACAGTGGTACTACGATGATCCACCTGACCGAGGGTCTTTCTTGCCTTCACTGACCCTCCATCCTTTCCAGGATCACGTCCTTCTCCAAGAAGTAGCCCCTCCTACAACATGCCCAAAGTATGTGAGGTGAAGCCTCATCATTTTTGCCTCCAAAGAGCACTCCAGCAGCACCCTCTCCAAGACATATGTTGTTGTTATGTGCCGTTGAGTCACTTGCGACCCATAGTGACCCTATGTACAAGAGCTCCAAAGTCTGCCTTATCCTGAGCCAGTCTCACTGACTCTGACATACCTATCCCCATTGCCCTAGATGTGTCAATCTATCTCATCCTGGGTCTTCCTCACCTGTATTATCCCCTCCACCCTCCCAAGCATGATGTCCTCTAAGGACAGGTCTCTCCTGGACATGTACCCAAAGTATATGAGATGGAGCTTCAAAATCCTAGCCTCCACGGAGAAACTTGGTTTCCCTCTCTCCAAGAAAGACCTATTTGTTTTCTCGATGGTCCATGGTATGTTCAAGACTCTACTCCAGCACAATTCTAAGGCATCAATTAATCTTCTGTCATCCTTAGTCATTGTCCAGATGTCTGATGCATAGCAAATAATGGTGTCTAGACTGACATCTCAGCTATTCAGTACTCTGGAGAGATCCCTGACAGCAGATTTGCCCAATGCAAGTTGTCTTTGGATTTCCTGACTGCTGGAAGACATATGATGTTGTTGTTATGTACCATCGAGTGGCTTGTGACTCTTAGCGACCCTATGTACAAGACCACTAAACCCTGTTCTATCCTATGCCAACCTTACTGTCTCCGACACACCTACTCCTATTACCTCAATCACTGAATCGATCCATCTCATCAAGGGTCTTCCTCTCCTGCGCTATCCCTCCGCTCTCCCAATCACTGTGTCCCTCTCCAAGGACTGGTCCCTCCTTGCAACTTGCCCAAAATATGTCAAAAGATGCTTCAGAATCCTTTACTCCAAGGAGCAGTTTGGCTTCACCCTCTCCAGGACAAGCCTGTTTGTTCTCCTAGCAGTCAGTCCATGGTATATTCAACACTCTTCTCCAGCACCACAGCTCAAAGGCATCAATTCTCTTTTTATCATCCAGAATCCCAGAACATTTAATCGTGCTAATGCGAAACCTACACTTGGACCAAAAGGCAGTCGTCAGAACAGAGCAGGGCAACACTGCATGGTTCAAAATTGGGAAGGGTGTACGCCAGGGATGTGTCCTGTCTCCATACCTTTTCAACCTGTATGCAGAGCAGATTATCCGAGAGGCTGGGCTCTATGAGGAGAAGCGTGGCGTTAGGATTGGTGGACGATCTATCAACAATCTGCGTTATGCAGATGACACAACTCTGCTTGCTGAAACTGAGGAGGACCTCATGCACTTACTGCAGAGGGTCAAGGACTGCAGCCTTCAAAATGGACTGAGGCTTAATGTCAAGAAGACAAAAATTCTCACCACTGGACCAATCAGTAGCATCAGGATGGATGGTGAAGAGATTGAGATTGTTCACAGCTTCAGTTTGCTCAGCTCCACAGTCAACACTCTTGGCACCAGTAGCCAGGAAATCAAAACACATATTGCGATGGGAAAGTCTGCGGTTAGGGACCTCTCTAAAGTACTCAAGAGCAACGGTGTCTCTCTGGAGACTAAGGTCCACCTGATACAGGCCATGGTTTTTGCAATCACTTGTTATGCATCAAAGAGTTGGACAATAACTAGGGAGGATAGAAGGAGAATTGACGCCTTTGAGCTGTGGTGCCGGAGAAGAGTACTGAATGTACCACGGACTGCCAAGAAAACAAACAGATTCATCCTAGAGAGGGTTAAACCAAGCTGCTCCTTGGAGGCAAGGATTCTGGGGTTCCATCCAACATACTTTGGACATGTTGTAAGGAGAGACAGGTCTTTAGAGAGGGACATCATGCTGGGCAGAGTGGAGGGACAGCGCAGGAGGGGAAGACCCTCTATGAGGTGGATTGATTCAGTGACTGGGGTAATCGGGATGGATGTGTCAGAGGCAATGAGATTGGCACAGGATAGAGCACGGTTTAGGGCTGTTGTACATAGGGTCGCTATGAGTCGCAAACGACTCGACGGCACATAACAACAACAAGTCACTGTACAACTCTCCCACATATAGCACGTAATTATGAAGACTAGAGCCCTGATCAGGTTCCCCTTAGTCTCCAGCCTGATGTCATGGCTCTTCAGAGAATTACCTTTAGAACTTTGGGAAGAGCAGACACTTTGCTGAGTGAGTGATTACTAGATGGCCTTTGTGACCCTGAGGCAGGCAGGATTCCGGCTACCTTACTGGGCAGCGACTCTCTCCAGCAAGCACCAAGCTGCCTTGCTCCCTCACCAACCATACTCTCTGTTGTCACTGAGCCCTGACTCATGGTGACCTCATGCATAGCCAAATGAAATCCTGCTCAGCCCCTTTCCTGTGATCAGGTGAGGACAGAACCGTGGTAACATGGAAAGCATTCACTGACTGATTTTTGGGAGTAGATCTCCAGGCCTTTACTCCTAGTCCCTCTTAGTCTAGTAGCTCCAGTGAAACAACTTCAGCATGAAAGCATCTTCAGCTGAAGACTGATATCATCACTGAGAGACTGAGCTGGGTGGCTCCTGCATAAAAGGCGAACATTCTACCAGTGAATCACCCATGCACTGATCCCTCAGCATTTTTATGCCACACATACAGGCATAGCTGAGCCAGGGCTCTTTGTTTTATGAAGTCTGTTTTTCAATATGTAGCAATATGTATCATTCTGTTATAGACAGAAATGTCATTGGTGTTTTTTTTTTTAAATAATTTAAATGCAACACTCAACTACTCTCCAGATTTCTACTTGTTGTTAGGTGCCCTCAAGTCCACTCATAGCAACCCTATGAACAAAAGATCTGAACCCAGTCCTGTCCTTTGCCATCCTCACACTTCTTGACATACAAAAGCCAATTGCAGCAGTCACTGTATCAATCCACCTGGTTGAGGGTCAACCATGAGTTGCAAACCCACTGCAGCCATCGAGTTGATTCTAACCTACGGTGAGCCCTAGCAGGTTGCTGGCCGTAAATCTTAACTGTACATTTTTTAAAAAATAATTTTAAAAATTTTATCTCTCTCTGTGTGTGTGTGTGTGTGTGTGTGTGTGTGTGTACTGTTAAACTGGATCAGACTGGTACAGGAGGAGATTGCCCCTCCTCCAGCAGAGCATCTGGTGGATTTGAACCGCATACCTCTGGGACTGCAGTGCAGCTTCTTGCCACTAGGCCACCAGAGCTCCCTAATACTGTCCATTTTGTCCCCCCAGAGCTGCTGGTGGATTTGAACCAACAAAGAGGTACAACCCTTTGGTTAGCCATGTAACATGCTTATAAACTTCAGTCACCAAAGCTACTTTCTCTAAGGCTCACTAACTCACTCACCCACTGCCATCCAATCAGAACTGACCCATAGCTTCACTGGGTTTCTGAGGCTGTAAATGAGACAGGGGAGATGATTGCCTATCTTTCTGCTGCAGAGCCACAGGTGGATTTGAACTGACAGAGAAAGGACACCTTTGGTTTAGCAAAACAACATTCTGTAGACCATGCCACCAGAGCTCCTTGCTATGAAGCTGGGGAAGTTAAGGATTTGAAATGCATTAGGGGGAGGATGGGAGGGAAGAGGGTTAGAAAAGGAAGGGAAGAAGAGAGAGACAGAGAGAGGGAGGGAGACAGGGACAGAGAGAGACAAAAAGAAATTCAACTTAGACAGGGACAGAGCAACATTCTTCAGTCTTTGGACCAGCAGATCACATTCTGTGTTAAGTCAGCCGTGGAAGTTCTGGTTCACAGTCAACTGCGCGTACAGAGCAGGACAAGCTGGGATACGAAAACGAAAACCACTGCTAAGGATAAACACTTCGGACGAGGTAAAACCACCAGCAGATCTGAGGATTCAGGGCTCTACTGGATGTCATCCAACACAGCCGGCGGTGCCCTGGCTTCCACCATCATCAGTAAGCTTTCCGACACTGTCTCCGAGAAGACCCTGCTGGTCCCTTGGACAACAGCAGGTCTGAAGCCTCAAGTGCACAGAACCTGCCTGGGATGCGAAAGTCCTCCAGCCCTGGGACTCCAGGTTACCGCTCATCAGCAGCGCACGCGACAAAGCAGGGTTTCCAAGATGAGTCCCAAATCACCGCCCCGGATCCCTCCCTCCCAGCTCACGGCTGTAAACCCGCTAGATCGAGAGCCTGGCACGGACTGAAGGCTCGATAATGTCAGCAGATGTCGTAAAGGTACCTGATCAAAAGGGAAAGGCGCCTAGACTGGAATTTCGGGAGCCCCAGCAGGTGGGGCGACACCTGGCGGGTGGGTCCTCCGCGGGCGGCCCGGGCAGGTGGCGCCCCCGGGGAGGCGGCCTAACGGGATGCCTGCGGGTAGGCCCGGCCTCGGCTCCTTGCCCGGGCGGGGCCGCCCGTGTCCCTGTGCCGACTCCTCGGCCCCCCGGCAATGACGTGGACTCAGGTGGCGCCTCTGCCGCTGCCCCGGGCAGCGCCGCCCCTCGGAGCAGCAGTGGCAATGGCAGCCGAGGAGCAGCCCTGGCCGCCTCCTCCCATCGCCCGGGACGCGGCCGTCGCTCTCATGACAACCGAGCCGGGCCGGCGGCAGCGAACATCGGTGCGTGCGCCAGGCCGCGCGACCCGGCTCTGACCCCGGCCGCGCCGGCGTAGAGGCTGAATCCCCGCCCCACGCGCTCGGCCTTCTGGGAAATGTAGTTTTCAGGCTTCGGTGGGTCCTGGGAACCCCAGCTTCCATATGTTCAGATCCCGCAGCTGGGCGGAGGGCTGGACCAAGCAGCTACAAACACATCGAGGATGTTTACAATGTTCCAGAAGCCCAAGATCTTCAAGCTACGGACCCTGCACAGCCAGAAGAAGTTTGGGGTGGCAGGCAGGAGCTGTAAGGAAGTGTTGCGGAAAGGATGCCGTCAGTTCCAGGTTCTCTGCTAACCTCCCTCTACACCCGTATAGGTCTCAGATAGGTGGGGTCCGAGGCGCTGCGAGAGGCTGAGGCGGTCTGCCCCGCTGGGGAGCTGTGTCCTTTCGTGCAGGGGAGGGAGTCAATATGCAGATTGGGTAGAGATTGGGAAGCTGAAGGCAGCCAGCCCACCGAGTGGGTCATGTTGAGACTCCCAAGAAAAGGGATCACAGAAGGGTAGGGATTTTCCGGACACGCGGTTTAAGCGCATCGGTCTGCCTTTTGCTAGAAGAGTGTGGAATATTCTGTGGGTGGATTTCTCTTCGCTGCTAGGGACTAGCAATGTTACTCCTTTATTTTTTTTCACCCCCTCCGGAGCAAGTTCGTAGTCTGCTTAATGGACACATTGTATCGGATACAATGTGTATCTGATACACAAATATTATTGCCACATCTTAAGTGCTGCCTTTAGCGTAGGTTAAGATGCATTGCGCGCCCATGTGGACCAGGGTGGAACTGTGCTCCATGGGGTTTTCAAAAGCTGGTTTATAGGAAGTAGTTTTCTTTCCAGGGCCTCTTTCCTGAGGTGCCTCTGGTGGACGTGAACCTGCAAGCTTAGTTAACCTGATTTGCACCACTTCTCCATATTTTACGGACAGAGGAGCTGAAAATGGGTGGAGAAAATGAACGTCCTTACATCTGCTGTGCCATTGCTATGTGCCAGACATTCTAAGCTCTTTATGTGGGTTTTACCATCCAGCCCAGAAAGCAACGCTGTGTACTGGATGCTCGCATCCTTATTTACACCAGAAGAAGATGAGGAAGGAACAAAGAGGTTAAGTAACAAGTGTCTTGCTCATAGCTACTAAGTAAAGGGGCTGCATTTAAAGTTCCAAACCCACCTCACTCCTGGTGATTGCTGCTTATGGAGACCCCCATTGGGTTTCCAAGGCTGTAAATCTTTATGAGAGAAGACTGCCTAGCTCTCTTTCCTGGAGCGACTAGTGGAGTGGCTAGTGTATTTGAACTGCTGACATTTTGCTAGAAGCCCAATTAAGTAACACTATGCCCCAGGACTGTCTAGTTGGTGTTTTTTTGTGGGGTGGTTTTTTTTTTTTTTTACTTTCTAGTTTTAAAGAAGTCCTTGGGGGTGTTCAGATGCACCCAGAAGTGCCTCAGAAGACAAGCCTGGCAATCTGTTTCTGAAAGGTCACAGCCGTACAGCCTTAAGGAGCAGTTCTGCTCTGCAAATGAGGTTGCTGTGAATCAGAATCAACTTCATTACAACTAACAACAACATATAATTTCACTATATAAGGCTGCTTCTGTGTTCCTTTGTGCGAAGAGAGCATGGCATCAGAAGCAAAGAAGGAAGCCCCTGTCCCTCCCCAAACTGAAGCCAAAACAAAGGCTTTAAAGGCCAAGAAGGCAGTCCTGATGGGCATCCACAGCCAAAGAAAAAAAAAGTTCCGCATGTCACCCACCTTCCTGCGGCCTAAGACTCCGAA